ATTCCTCAGATAGTCTTTACAGAATCCTCTGGATATGAAAGATACAGAGAATTTGTAATTTGTACTGAATTTCTACTGTCTCACCATCATGTTTCAAGTTGTAGTGTATAGAGAGGGGTGTAGACGGGTGGAGGGGAGGATTTTGAAGGAGAACTGTTTTTATACCAAGCAACTAAGCAATGTGATAATTACATGCGATGATTTATCTAATCTTGGATCTCTTGCTAAAAAGCCTTTAAGAACTACTACGTAGCCTCAATACTCCTCACGATTAAACTGGAAAAATGTAATAACGAATCCGCTAAGATTTGGGACACTAGCAGAACCAATTAAAAGTAGTAATAATGTCACCATGGCCATAACCAAATTTTAAAGCTACATCGTCATATTTCAGTCAACTTTCCTCCCAAGATAACAACACCGTCTCAAAGATATGCTCTTCACGGAGAACATCTCACGCTTCAACTAGAAGGAGAAGATCCTGAAGACAGGCCTTTCGAAATAGAGATAATGAATGGAAGCCCACCTGAAGCAACAGTAACTCAAAGCAGCGTTCTCGTGTGGACGGCTAGAGCCTTCAATTCGACTGAATTCTTCTTTAGAGCTACTGACGAGTGTAATGCTTCATCAACATTCAATATGACTATAGATATTTTGTCGTGTCCTTGTGTCAATGACGGAATTTGTATACCTGATGCTGAATATCCGCGGGGCTCAGGAATGTACGTTTGCAGCTGTCAAGCGGGCTACGAGGGGCAACATTGCGAAAAAGAAATTGACGAGTGTCTGTCATCTCCATGTATTAATGGTAATCACTTAAGTTTGTTTGTTTGTTTACATTTTATGCATCGTCCAGCCGTGGCAAAACAAAAGCGACAGTTATTCGGTCTCTTTTCCTTTCACACTTGAGTAAGAAGAAGTTAAGGAATGTTTAGCGCGAAATTTATTAGTTTTTTTCAAAGGGGGGTCACACTGTGTCAAAGTGAGGGTACTCACCAGATTGTCATTTTTGCCACCTGTTGCAGGTTTTTTGATTTAAAAAAGGCTTACAAAACTTGCCACGCCCTTATTTAGCAGTATTGTTAAAGTTTAGCATTGTGTTTGTCATATGTCTATTTTGTGATAGTTGGTACTTCTCTGAATGCATTTTTCCAGGTACGTGTGTAGATGGCATAAACAACTACACCTGTCAATGCGAAAGAGGATTCACTGGATTTAACTGCGAGCAAGAGA